TTCTGGAAGACTTTTCAGCAAGAATTGGGTATACAGGTAGAGCTGAGCACAGCATTTCATCCCCAGACGGACGGGCAGTCCGAGCGTACCATTCAGATATTGGAGGACATGTTGCGTGCCTGTGTTATTGATTTTGGAGGTTCTTAGGCCGAGTTCTTGCCACTTGCAGAGTTCGCGTACAACAACAACTATCAGTCCAGTATTCAGATGGCACCGTATGCGGCCTTATATGGGAGACGATGTAGATCTCCGGTTGGTTGGTTTGAACCCGGCGAGGCTAGACTATTGGGGACAGAGTTGGTTGAGGATGCCTTAGAGAAGGTGAAAGTGATCCAGGAGAGAGTTCGTACAGCTCAGTCGCGTCAGAAGAGTTATGCGGACCGGAAGGTTCGAGACGTATCCTACATGGTGGGCAAGAAGGTCTTGTTGAAGGTTTCGCCTATGAAGGGCGTTATGAGATTTGGAAAGAAAGGAAAGTTGAGTCCACGGTTCATTGGTCCTTTTGAGATACTTAGGAGAGTTGGGGAGGTGGCCTACATGCTTGCTTGCCACCCAGCTTGTCGGGAGTTCACCCGGTATTTCACGTTTCTATGCTCCGAAAGTATGTCGGGGACCCGTCCCATGTGTTAGACTTCAGCACGGTTCAGTCGGATGATGACTTGACTTACGATGTGGAGCCAGTGGCTATTTTGGGTCGTCAGGTTCGGAGATTGAGATCAAAGGATATAGCTTTGGTAAAGGTGCAGTGGAGAGGTCAGCCCGTAGAGGAAGCTACTTGGGAGACCGAGCAGGAGATGCAGAGCAGATATCCTCACCTATTTGAGACCTCAGGTATGCTTCTCGACCCGCTCGAGGACGAGCGTTTATTTAAGTTGGGGAGGATGTGACGACCCAACCCGTCGTCTCATGTATTACAGACCCGTTTCCCCCATTTATTGCTCTTTCATGTTTTATTATCAGCAACGGGTGAGTTAGAGTTGAATTGAATTGGTTTGGATAGGAAATGAGACACTTAGTCTCTTTAAGGAAGGTTTGGTTTGAAAAGTCAACCGAATGTTGACTTATTAGTTAGAAGGCTCGGCTGTGAATTCCGGTGATTCGGTTAGCTTCGGGAGGTGGTTTGTGACTTAGGAGTGCGATCGGAAGTGATTTTGGAGGTCCGGAGTAGAATTAGGCTTGAATTGGCAAAGTTGGCATTTTGGCGAATTCCGGTGGATAGGTGAGATTTTGATCCGAGGGTCAGAATGGAATTCCGAGAGTTGCAGTAGCTCCGTTAGGTGATTTTGGATATGTGTGCAAAATTTCAGGTCATTCGGAGGTGTTTTGGTCGGGTTTTTGATCAAATGCGTAATTCGGAAGTTTTTAAGAAACTTAGGCTTGAATTCGATGTGATTTGATGGTTTTAGCGTTTTTTGATGTGTTTTGAGGATGAGAACAAGTTTGAATGAGGTTTTAGGATGTATTGGTGTTTTTGGTTGAGGTCCCGGGGGCCTCGGAGTGAGGTTGGGTGTTTAAACGAGAGTTTTGAAGTTTGTTTCAGGTCTGTTGTTGCTGTCATTTGGTATTTCCGCTTCTGCGGAAATGGAACGCAGAAGCGGTTCCGCAGAAGCGAGTGGTGGATCGCATAAGCGGTTCATGGCCTGGTGGAGTGTTTCTGCAAAAGCGGAACATTTTTCGCAAATGCGAGT